TTTTTTTTGCGATTTGGTTAACAAATTATTGAAAAAATGTTGCTACTGTTTTTTTATCTAGTTTATCTCTGGAGTTATGGCTGCTTTGAGTGCTATGGTGATGCTAGAAACCCCACAAGTCAACATAATGACCAAAATGGATCTACTCAGTCCAAAGGCTAAGAAGGAAATAGAGAAGTATGTTCATGTAATGCGATCGACTTATAATTCACTTTATCCTAGATTTAAATGACATGATGGTGTTTTTCATTTTATTTGCAGGTATCTGGACCCGGACATGTACTCAATGATGGAGGACAACTCTGCAGCTTTGAGAAGCAAGAAATTCAAGAAATTAACCAAGGCCATATGTGGTTTGGTAAGTTACAATTACAAAGATTGTGCCTCCTGTTGAGGCATTGATAAGTGTGATTTTTATATAAATAAATAAAATATATATATAAATAAGAGTTTCAGGTTTGCTGTGCTTGTTTGTTGGACTGCACAATTTTGGCAAATAATCATATTGACTATATACCAATATGACTATAAAATGATGATCATATTAATAATAATTATTATTATTAATAGTAATAATAATAATTAAAAACACTGAACAAATTAAGGAATATATTGCTATTTTAATTTTACTAAATCAATATAAATACATTGACTATGTAATAATAATTACATATGTAATATTAAAAATAATAATTTTATTTTAGAGTGCAACACTAATGTGTCTTAATTTCCTAATTTTCTTTTTCAAAAAACCACCGGGAGCCCTAAAGCTCTCCTTTGTTGGCTACATGTTTATAAATGTTTCTAATTACAGACCTGGTGAAATGCTTTACTCAGAAACACACAGCATATATATTTATTTAAAGGGGTCCTATTATACTTTTTCAACTTTAGTTAGTCTGTAATGTTGCTGTTTGAGCATAAAAAAAGATCTGCAAAGTTACAAAGCTCAAAGTCCACTTCAAAAGGAGATATTTTATTTAACAGAAATCACTTTTCAAAAACTACAGCGAACGACTCGTTTGGACTACAACGCATATTTTCCAGGATTTGTGATATCACAAATACCGACGAATGGGACGAGACCTGGTTGAGCTGCACTAGAGAAGGCACAGAGTGTTATCACTATGTCGGAGACACGCTAGCTTTCCCAAGGCAGACGAACTTAGAGTGGTTACAATCATCCGGGTTTAAATTGCGCTCAGATTGACTTGATTTTGATGCAATATTTACACTGAAGCTTGCAGGTGGCTATATGGTAAGGGGCATGACATTTCTCGACCAGGCGCAGAGTGCTGCCAATCACAACACCCACTGGCCCAGCTAACCAATCACAGCACATCTCGTATTTCAGAAGGCGGGCCTTCATTTGATACAGGTATTATTCGAGCCGTTCATGCCAGACTGGGGAGAGAGGTGTTGTAATAATGTAAAATATGTGAAAAATAATGTGTTTTTCGTATGAGAGCCTGTTCTAGTACACCCCCAAAACAAAATCAAGACTTTGTAAAAGAGCATAATAGGACCCCTTTAAATCACAGCCTTTCCTTTTTGATAATCGCACTAAGCCATATAGCAATTTCAGTTTTTGATTTTGATTAATCGTTCAGCCCTAGCATCTTTCATATTCAATTTCAAGTTTTACAATCATTCTGTAGTTAAAAACTAAGATGGCACTGTTTTCTTTAGATTGATGATTACAGTATGGTTCGTTTCCTGCCCTTTGACCGCACTGATGAGGAGGGCATCAGCATTGTCCTGCAGCACATCGATTTCTCCATACAGTATGGTGAAGACCTGGAGTTTAAAGAGCCCAAGGTTTGTGCATAAGGTTGCTGCCATATGCTATGAACTGATGTTTGATTCTAAGATATTAAGTCTATAAGTCGAAATTGGTTTTAGATTACAACAAAATTAGCAATTTGCAAATTAAAAGTGCTAAATCCCCCCCCCCCCCCCTTTTTTTCCTCCAGGAAATTGATGGGGAACCCAGTAACACAAATTTTGATGAGTTCTTCCAAGACAGAGATGATTCTTAAGCGAGGAGAGAGATCATACTTCAAAGCCAGCCAGCCAGACTTCTTCCACTAATTAAGAGTTTAATTTATTTAAACTATATTTTGTGTCGCTTTCATAAATTCATTAGTTGAAGGATGCAGCCGTAACCTGTGCTATGCCTCAGTCTTTGCAGAGTTTTATAAAATGTAATCCATTTTTTTTAGAAGTGTGTATTTATTTTTGCAGTAAAAATATGGAAATGGCAAATGTGGTGTTTTAATTTTGTTTTTAAAAAAAAAAATCAGTTATTACATGTCATAACCCAGTTGCATAAAAGTCTTAGAAGGACATTGACAGAGACAAGCGAAATAGCAGTTTATCATTATCATCAGTTATTCAATAGTGGACAGTTAAACTTATATATTTGCCCCCAATGAATATTAGTTGTTAAAACCTAATGTACTTCCTACGTTGTCTTGGTAGGCAGGTCGCTAGGTTTTGACTGCCGTAACAAAAAAAATGGTGTTGACAGTTTTTTAAATGGCACATGTAACATGTTTAGACTACTTAAAAGAAGTGATTTAAAATCATATAAAAAAAAAAATTGTGTGGGGGGGGGGGCGGGGCAGAACTGAGAACTGGTGTCCTTCGGCGCCCCCCAGTGGTTATAGCCGGATACTGTGCTGGAAACTTCCTGTATCGCTGTTGGGTGGGACAGCGCTGACATTCATTTTTTACCTGCTAGATTTGGGACATATTGTACCAAAATGCCGGTAAGAAATCATTAAACATAACGATTAGCGCAATTGTTTGCGTTATGGGCAGTTTGTTGTGCCACGTTTTAGAGCAGCGGCGAAGTAGAAACATATTTTATCGTGATTAGCCATAGAGCTAACCTATACATCATGTTACTCTGGCCATTTTTCTACAATTGTAGCAGTTTTACAAATACATATTTTATTGTGTTTTTGATTTTCATATATTATAATCAAATATGTATAGGTAAGTGTCAGAAATATGTTGTTAGAAACAGAATTTGTGCGTCTGTCCGTGATGCAAACGACTGGATTTCCTCATTTACATTCACCTCAGTGATCGCTGATTTTCTTTAAAACCAATTTGCTATATGAAAGAAATCTTACTAAATAACTCTTGCATTTTTGTTGTTGTAATTTTCCACTCTCTTCAGGCTTACCACTCAAACCTGATAGATGCAGACACCAAACTGGTGGGGAATATGGCATTACTGCCCCTCAAAACACAGTTTAAGGGTCCTGCTCCTAAAGAAAGTAAGAAAGATTGCTTGATTTTAGGCAGTACTCTGAGATCAGAGTTATGTCTGGTTCTTCCTTAAATGGCGATCTTTAGAAAAGGGTATTTGACAAATCATCTCTTCCTTCCTGTTTCCATATTCAGCAAAAGACACAGATATTATCGATGAGGCCATCTACTACTTCAAAGCCAATGTTTTCTTCAAGAACTATGAAATTAAGGTAAGACGGATGACCGTACAGCAGGCTGGCTGTGCAGGAGCCTGAAAAAATGCACTTGCATGCCTTAACATGCATTCATATTTCTGTCCTGAGAGAGAAGAATAAATATATTCTCATGGGGATATGTCACCTCAAACTCTTTACATATGCATATCGACATACGTAGTCAGGTATAACTTCACTTCAATTGTTGAGATTTTGTATTGAACTGTTGACTTTTTAAATTTTTTTGATAGAATGAGGCAGATCGGACTTTGATCTACACCACTCTTTACATCTCTGAATGCCTCAAGAAGCTCCAGAAGGTAACTATTGAAGAATAAAAGCTTCATTGTATATTTCAAACGTTAAGTGTTGAATTGTTTATCAGGTGTTGTTCATTTTCCTCAGTTAATGCTTCTTAAGTAACCCTCTCATAAATGATTTCTAGTGCAGTTCAAGGGGCCAAGGAGAGAAGGAGATGTACACGCTGGGAATTACCAACTTTCCTATCCCTGGAGAACCTGGCTTTCCTCTGAATGCCATGTATGTTAAACCCTCTAGCAAACAGGAGGAAGGTATGGGACAGTGAAGTCAAAACTTACCTGGGTCTGGTTGATTTAAACATCCACTAAGACCTTCTTTATGATGAGTTTTATGATTAGAAGTGTTATTGCTGATTACAGAAAAGATCTAAATACCGTGTTTTTCTCCTGGACAGAAACGATGAGGGCTTACCTGCAACAAATCCGACAGGAGACAGGACTGAGATTGTGTGACCGTGTGTTCGACCCTCAGACAGACAAACCAAGCAAGGTGAGGCATATTGAAATATTATCAGTCAAATCAAGGTGAATGACAAAAGCAAGAGAGGCTTTAATAGGCATTTTATTTAGTTAATACAATTTTTTTGTGCACTGTGACATTTTACTGACAGTTAAACAAAGTTTTCCTCCGAAGTCTTGTTACTTTAATGCAAAAAAAAAAGTTAATCTTTCTTTTTTTTGGGATGGTCTATGCCTTTAAACTTATTTCACTAATTTCTAAGTTTTTCATTAATATTTAATATTTTATTTCAATTGACAATTAATATTTTCAGTTTCACAATAACACCACAACTTGGTGTGTAGTGAGTTCATAATTTATTTATCTGAACTTAAAGAGCATAAATGATTGCTGCAGAAAGAAATTACATTCCTTCATATTTAGTGCTCAAAAATCAATATTCTGCCAAGCACCACACAAACTGGAGAAAAGTGTTTCACACCAGTAACACACCACTGAATCAAATCAAAACATGACCAACTGAAAATTCAGTCTTTTGAACAATTGCATTAGTACACAACACCAAACAAACCTCACTCAGACAAGATCCTAAAAGATGTGTTATCAAGAATCGTATGCACCTTTAGAAGATATTGAGGTAACTGCAATTTACATGACTGACAAGACATCAACAGGACAAAGGCAAGACTAAAAGAGAATAAAACACAAGGACAAACACTAGATATGTAAGACAAATGCTACATTTTAATGAGCAATTACATGATAGGACCTTCAGGGAACAGAAGAGTGAACAGGATACAGTCATAAATGAGATTACAAAACTACATGTGGTGGCGGGGGGACATCACAAACAAATGACTGAAAGACCTATGGTACAATACATCATATTTACATACACAAAAAATACAGCTTTTGAGCTTACCATTTATACAAAAAAATATTCTCTGTCTCTCATGCAAATATCTAACTTTTTGGTTTGTCCAAAAGAGGATTCCAGCTCAAAAACTGACTAGACATCGAGACGGATTTGACATCACAATACAATTTTCCTTTCCGATAGGAGAACAACTTAAGGCAGCAGAGAAAGAGATGGCCCTTTGAGAGACATCTGCGGTATTGTTTTGTTGTTTTTTTTAAGGGAATAGGGCTGTCCGACAGTGAGAAGGGAAATCAGCATCGATTCTGACCATCAGCCTCTACTAGTACCATAAACGCACAAAACACGCCAAAATTGCATAAAAGACTGTTCAAAATTGATGGCTCAGTGGCAGATAAAAAAAAAAAAAAGCAAATCAAAACAAGTGTCATGCAGTACATTTCATCATAAGATAATAAATAATTCAGACACACTAGAGGGTGGAGGGTAATTGGTATTAACGAAACGTGCTATAACTCACACATTCAGATAAAAAAAAATATTTATATATATTATTCTACGGTGGCTTTGCTCTGATATCCCTAAATGGTGCAAACCGAAATAACTGGTGACTAAAATATAGGTGATCGCCTATTAATGTTGACATATCCAGGGGGCTGGTTAGAATTCAATTTACGTGATGAAGCTTTGCCACACATAAATATAATTCAACACATAGTTAAACCTATTAAATTGATATGAGCTTGTCATGGGCTTTAAAATCAATGGCGAAATAAATCCTGAAATTGAAACGTCTGTTTTTGACCTCAAGATATGGAGATGGGAACTGATATGTACTAAACAAATGTAACGGTGATGGAGCGTCTAGTCAAATGCCATTTCTTGGCTCTTCCTCACGCAGCGGGCAACTTTCCGCTTGAACTCACCGTTGGGATCCTCTCGCCATTCTTTCTGCAAGCCGAACACAAATGAGAGAGTTTCAGTCATTGCTTCAGAAGGACAAAAACATGAATTGGCATTTCATTTAAATAAAGTGACATTTTGGAGTGAAATTTGAAAAAAAAATAAAAATAAAATGCATGTGGGACTTGATTTTATTCATCAGGAATTGGATCTATGATGGTCATAACCGGCACTTTTTGAAGAGTTTTTCATCCAGGATGTGGATGCTTAAATGGTGATGCTTACAGTATATATATATATATATATATATATATATATATATATATAATCTCATTACATTTAGTACATTTTGATGAAAGGATGAAGTTACTATGAAATATTATTTTTATGGAATATTTCAGTATTTATTATAAATGACAAGGTTTCTGCATGTTTTATTTAAAACCAAGTAAAGTAAACTTAAGGAATAAACTGAAGGGAATGCAATTCATCACTATGTTCTCTAAATTTAAATGTCTAGGGAGCACACAATCAGTTGCATTAGCAACACTTCAAAGTTTGAAATTATAACCACCAACCAATCTCCACTACTTTTTAATTTGTTTTATAAAAAATAAAAAAGTTACCGTTTTCGAATCCATTCAGCCGATCTCCGGGTCTGGCGGTAGCACTTTTAGCTGTAGCTTAGCATAGATCATCGAATCTGATTAGACCGTTAGCATCTCGCTCAAAAATGACCAAAGAGTTTCTATATATTTCCTATTTAAAACTTGACTCTTCTGTAGTTACATCGTGTACTAAGACCAACAGAAAATGAAAAGTTGTGATTTTCTAGGCAGACATGTCTAGGAACTATATAATTATATAACTGATATTACGCAGCACCTGAAAACAGTCCCCAGCACGCTCCCTGTGCAAGCAGGTGGTCACGTTGGTTATGTTGACGGAAGTTAGCCTATTTTAAGGCGCTGTGTAATATGATTGCGCCTGCTGCACCCTTGGTACGGCAGCAAAGTTCCTTGGTTATTACACCGGAATGAGAGTATAGTTCCTAGCCATATCGGCCTAGAAAATCACAACTTTTCATTTTCTGTTGGTCTTAGCACATGATGTAACTACAGAAGAGACAAGTTTTAAATAGGAAAAATATAGAAACTCTTTGGTCATTTTTTAGCGAGATGCTAACGGTCTAATCAGATTCAATGATCTATGCTAAGCTACAGCTAAAATTGCTAACGCCAGACCCGGAGATCGGCTGAATGGATTCGAAAACGGTAAAACTCAACTGTTTAACTCTAGGGGAGTTGGAAAATGAGCCTATTTTCAAAATAATGGAGTGTTCCTTTAACCCTACTCCCTAAAATATGTAAATCATTTTTACTGTACCTTCTGATCACATCGCAAAAACAATGTTCATTTTGATATCATGGTGACTTATTATAAAACATGATTCAATATATTATCACAAATCAGTAAACTTACAGCTGCGTCCACATTGGCTGGCGAGTCACCATTGGGATCAGCTAACATGGAGATCACGCTAATCATGATGGTCTCTACAGTGTGGATGGGCAGCCAACGCTCCTCAGGTTTCTCATAGCCAAATTTGTCCTCTCCTGGCTCATGTAGGATGGAAATGCACACATCTCCGTTCTTCGCGACTGGTTAGAGATGATGAATAATATCAGTGTCAGCCGCTATAAGGGACAGTGATTTCACCAACATGCACTCACCATTAGGATGCCAAATCTCTGTAATAAACTTCATCTTGGGGGGCCGAAGTGGGTAATCATGAGGGAAAATGAGATGTGCCTTAAAAAATCCACCTTCGCTGTAAATCAAAACCAGAAAAAGTGAGTAAACGGTTTGGTTAGAAGTGATCTGAGCTTTGTAGAAGACTAGATTAGTCAACCGGCCAATCTTATAGCTAAACCCAAACACCACATGGCTGGTAACAGGATTGGTTACTTACAACAATGTGTCTTGAGGGCCGATCACGACAACCTCCCACTGATAGATATCATCATCATCAATCAGACCAGCAGAAAAACCTTCCACTGGGTTTTTGTTGAGCTCTGTAAGACATAAAAAAAGACACATTATTTCAATGTATCTTAAAGGGTTAGTTCACCCAAAAATGAAAATTAGTCCATAAATTACTCACTCTCAAGTCATCCTAGGTGTATATGACTTTCTTCTTTCAGACGAATCCAGTCGGAGGTATATTCAAAATTGTCTCTGATCTTTCAAGCTGTTTCATGGCACTCAGCGGGTGTTCCATGCATCAGTTAAATAAAAAGCCATCCATAAAAAAAAAAAGTGTCTCACACGGCTCCGGGGGGTGAACAAAGGCCTTCTGTAGTGAATCGATGCGTTTTTGTAAGAAAAATATCCATATTCAAAACGTAATAATCACTTTAATGTAGCTTGCGCCAACAGTTGTACACGGAAGCAGCTCCGGGCGGATGAGGTATGAGGTCAGCGCTCCGCATGCGCCGGTGAGTCTCGTGAAAACCAACGTTTGTTAACAGGAGCAAAGGAAGCAAAGTTTCCTTACTTTAGCAAAGGAAAAGTAGTCCGCTTGGCTTATATCGAAATCCTCCGACATTCTTCTTTACAAATCCTCGTTTTGTACTTCTAATAAGTGACCGTTGTTTTGTTTTGATCTCTCCCCTGCGCTTCCGCGTGCGTCACTTCTGAGCGGCGCATGTGCAAAGCCGACCTCCATACGTCATCCTCCCGGAACTGCTTCCATGTACAACAGTGAGCGCAAGCTACATTAAAGTGATTATTATGTTTTCAATATGGATATTTTTCTTACAAAAACGCATCGATTTGCCACAGAAGGCCTTTGTTCACCCCCTGGAGCCGAGTGAGACACGTTTTTTTATGGATGGGCGCATTTTAATTAAGTGCTTTTGGACTGATGCATGCAACACCCGCTGAGTGCCATGAAACAGCTTGAAAGATCAAAGACAATTTTTAATATAACTCCGACTGGATTCGTCTGAAAGAAGAAAGTCATATACACCTAGGATGACTTGAGGATGAGTAATTTATGGGCTAATTTTCATTTTTGGGTGAACTAACCCTTTAAGTGAATTTATATATATATATATATATATATATGCTTTGTATTTACACATGTAAAAGAAAATTAATGTCAAAAGGCTTTGAATAAGTTGGTGAGGTACATACATGCTGATGACAAAAAATATATAAATATATATTTGTCATTTATCATTCGTATCTGGCAATATTGGATATTAGATTACATTTTCTGCTAATG